GTGGTTCAGATTGAGACGAGTCACAGGTCGTCATCGCAGAGAAAGAAACTTAAAGTAGGAATATGAAGGAATCATCCAAGTTTTTGCAGCTAACACAGCTTTACACATGAAGTAGGGTTTTCACCAGTTTGTGGTATTATTTTTTTTAATCAAAGATTACCTAAACTAGTTACTGGTTGGGGTTAAATTTCATAGATGTTTCACAGGAGATCAACTTCAGTGTTGGGCACAAAGTTGTGTTTATTCTGAATATTTCAAATAATGAATAATATTTAGGTTTAGCACTAGTGTGATTTTCATAAAAGATATTTTTTCTTCAGTTTCCACAGACTAAAATTTGTTTTTTTTAGCATTGCTCTGTGATTTATACCAAACAACAAATCTCTTCTTCACTACTGTTCATTTGTTTCTAACTGAAACTCGCAGATGGACGTAAACAGAAACCAACAAGACTGTTTTTTTTGTGTCTTCCCTAATTTCTAACAGGGATGGGATGATCTGAGGATTAGGCTCTGAAAAGATTGATGACTAAGTCCAGGTTCAGGGTTGATTAAGACGTAAGAATTATAAATCGTTGTGACTCCTCCTTGGCCTGAGCTGTGAGGAATATGAGTGTTAGTAGGAATTTGGAGACTGAAAAATATAGTGGTATTTATCTTTATGGACAGATCGTTGTCTTTGTCCCCGTCTTTGTATCTAATGAATTGGTGATGAGGCTGCAGTGCAACTTAAAAACTCAAATTATATGATGGCAGATGTTTACATGTCGTAAATGTACGTATGGATTATGTGTGGCTGGGGAGGTGGTACGATGTGAGATGTTGAAAATCACTTTAATTTGTCTTGAGGCCTTAAGGAATAGTCTAAGGTACAGCAGTGGTGTTGGACATCTTTAGGTCCACGTTAGAGAGGCTTTAATTCTGGGTAGGAATTTTTTTTAAATACTTGAAATTACTGCACTTACCAGCAAAAAAAGAGCTCAAATTATAATAAACTTACAAGTTTGTCAATTGGATGAAATTATGGTTATGATTCCCAGGGTTATGGCACATGGTTCCAACCCTGATCTTATGTTATTGCTTGCTGTAACGTTCCTGAGGTTCTAGCAGAATTGTTAGTGAGGTTGTAAGTTGGTGTCAGTAATGAGGTGTTTAATTAATTTAATTCAGGCAGGGAAGAAAAAGAACGTGATCCAGATAACAGGGTCTGATAAATGTTCTTCACATAATGAAGATTCTGTAGGAGCGATGAAAACCTTTCGGCGCACGCTTGTCAGTCTGATATTAAACATGTAAAGTCAGTCAGACCAATGCATTAAGGTTACATCTATTTTTACACCCAGACTTTGGAGCATGACATGAAAAGTTGTTGCTGTACTGTTCCTTTGAGGCTTCCAAAATTCCTTTGAATTTAATTTCGACACATTAACGGAGAAAAATGGGAGAAGTGCACGTTAATCATCCTTTCCAGTCAGGGAATATTCACAGAAACTCCTAAGGTTAATTTAGCAAAGGTCAGCTGAGGTAGGATTTCCTAATAGTTTGTTTCCTTACATCCTTCCAAACAGAACCAGAAAACTATTTTTATACTAAACTGCAATCAAAATATGATCGTGTGTTGCCAGCAGGAGTTTTTTTCTCTCTCTCTCGCTGCTGTTGTGTTTCATGTTGCCTGTGAGGAGCCAAAATAACCAATCACATTCCTCTCACTACCTCACACTTCCTATAGCCTCAGTTCACACACTGGAAATAGCCACGGAATCATTCCATGCTTCCCGATTGTATGTTTACACTGTGCCTTCTTCCGTAGTGGAACACTGTGGCACGCTTCACACCAAGTACTCAAAACGTTCCGATAAAATCAACAAGAGTGACCAGAAGTGGGGCGTGAAACAGTTCTCCTGGCACTGCAACAGTTTTTCTTTTCCAACAACCAGAGCTAAATATACATTTTTACACCAATAGCTGTGTTTGGTTTACATGAGTCGTGTGACAGTTTGTGACAGAGGACCACATGAAAGACTTTTGGGTTTAAGACTCTTAAGTCTGACATTCGGTTCACAGTGTAGGTGAGAGGATGTGACATAGCACCTTTATCCCATCATGTTTGTTGAGGTTTCAACCTCAGGTCAGTGGCCCCTGCTTGTGTCAGAGCAGCCATAGATTCAGGACTGTAGACTGATTAATATTGTTGAGGACAAAGAGTGGACAGGAGTTTATGGAGAAACTCTCACACGTTGTGGACTGGAGTTTATGGAGAAACTCTCACACGTTTGATTTTGTAGTGTAGTTGTAGTTGATTTGAAAACTGCGGAGGAACAACAGGAGGATTTCTCCTCAGTCTGTTTTTGTTTACGTGGTGCTTTCAGTTTCAGTCTGATGTCTGGCTCTGTAAATGTAAAACACATTTTCAAAGACGTCTGCTGCTGAATAATTTCACAGACAGTAGAACAACAACCATCCAGGAACATATCTGGAATAACTGCCTGGGTGTGTTCAGGTATTAAAGGACTCGAGTTCTGTGAGTTCTCTTCTGTACACTACCTAGAGAGAAAATTGCTTGTAAATTGCTAGATAGAAGAAGTAAGATTGGACTTTGACATTTGAATTTCTGACAAATTAATTAAGGGAGAAAAACATATTTATTTCAACGATTCCCGTGGACCAGTGTTTCCCAACCTTTTTTGAGCCACAGTGCGAATGTATTATCAGAAAAAACAAACAGACACACCGCCAAACAAAAATGTCACAAAAAGTATATGTAATGAAATATAATACTATTCTAGTTTAAATGGCCAAAATGTTGAGATTCTGAATCCTCTCAGAAAGATCCCATTAGAGAGTTTTATTTAAAAGCAAAAGAAAAAAAGAAAACAAATCTTTTTATTCTTCGTGTGCAGCCCAGTACTGAATGATCTACAGCCCTGGACCGGTTCCGGTCCCAGGGGGTTCCGTAGTTCGGTTCTAGAGGATATGAGAGACCATCTACCAAAAATGACAAACTGTCTTAGTCATCATTATCTCAGAGAACTGGTTTGTTTAGCTGTTTAAAATTACAGCTAGCTCTTGTTCATATGTGCTCACATGAGAGCAGGTTCTGGAGAGACGGAGCATCTGTGTCGATGACGTATCGCTGCAGCCAAGCTTTCAAACATGTGCCAAGATCAATTTCCATCAAAGATCCGCAGGGAGAAAAATCCCACCATCCTCTGGACACAAGTCAAGTTAATGTTGGAAAAGAAATCGCTGAGCAGCAAAGGTTTTATCCAAAACAGTAGACAGTGAGGTTCTCAGGGCTTCTTCACCCTGAGGACCACAGACGGTAAACAGGTCTTTGTTTCCTGATCCACTGACTACAGTGCGAGGTTTGAGTTTTGTCAGAGGATCAGTGTCTGATTTGAACGGAGAAGGTACAGGGTCAAGAAGAGGACAAATAGGTTGACCTCTGAGTGAAGTCCCCCCCCCCACCACCACCACCACACCCTGCCTCATCTGCTTATCATAATACAGTCGTGTATTACGGGTTTCTTAGTGCAATGTACTCTGCTCATGTGCTGTAACTGTGATAATACAGTCGTGTATTACAGGTTTCTTAGTGCAGTGTACTCTGCTCATGTGCTGTAACTGTGCAATGGTCATATTACTTTAAATTTTGTATTCTTTTAAATCAAGTTTCTTTTTTTTTTTTTTTTTTAAACCGTTTTTTAAACGGTCAATTTGTTTACTTCAAATTGACCGTAGGTGTGTTTTTTTTTTTTACTTCAAATTGACCGTAGGTGTGAATGTGAGTGTGAATGGTTGGTTCTCCACATGTGACCTTGTGACCGATTGGTGAACTATTCAGTTCCAGGAAGGTTGTTCCTTCTGTAGTTTATCGATCGATCGATAGATATACTTGATTGTTTCCAGGCTGGGAAATCACAGTGATTGAGCTGAATGTGTTTCTCTGAGGCGTCAACAGTCGTATTGTTTCCCTGTCAGACGTCTGTCTTTTTGGATCTTTCACCGTTTTCACAGACGTCAGAAATAAAATACTCCAGTGGTCCAGAAGTCTAAACTGTGTTGACATTGTCTGACTGTCATGTCTCTGCTGCAGCAGGCTTCTGTGGTGCCTTTGTTTTGAATGGTACACTTCTGTGTTTGTGTTTGGATGAACCAGATCCTGGTCTGAGCCGCCTTTGTGTTTCTTGAACTGTTTGACTGTTGTCTTTCCCAGGAGTTTTTTGGAGCGGACGCTCCGGGGGGAAACCCAGTGTCCGTCCTTTATCTTCTCTGGGTGCATTCCCTCGCACCCTACGCTCTGAGAAAACATCTTTCCATCCTTCCTTCCTTGAACAAACTCGCCCTTATCCACTTTGATCTTTATTATTAGTTACTGCAGCATTCTTCACTTCATCGTGCTATCTCTAAAGCCTGGAATAAGAAGCAAAATGAATGTTTTGCCGTGGTTTTCCACGGAGACATCCTACTGAGTCATTCCTTTCCCCTGGAGGATGATGTCATCATCTCACACACCGCTGAAGTGATGTGATTTAAGTCATTCATCCATAACATGACAACACTGATCTGTTACACTGTACAACTACCTTGGCGTTGTGTTATATGGCAGTGTAATCAGTCTCCCTCTGTATGTGTGCCATCACACACACACATCTGTATTTTTCCTTCATCCAACCAGGTTTAGTCTCTGTCAGATTTGAAATCCAAACAACGAAAAAACAAGGTTTCCACATTATCAACATAGAACTTTACTTTTCTTGGTACTTTACTTAAACTTTGGCCTCCAATAAGCTAATTTGATCAATGCAGTCACATAAATAAAACTGATGTAAACTGTGCATTTCATATCCTCCCTCCTTGGGGGTTCAGTATTTCCCATGTTTCCAGATTTGTATGAATAAAAAAACAGTTTTATTCAAATCTAAAACATGAAACAGAATCAGTATTTTACCTCCCATTTTACTGTCACCCGTTTTCCTAACCTCCGTCCAACCTTTGCAGCGCCGGCTCGTCCCCCCTCCTCCTCGCACTCTCCACCGCTCCAGCTGTGTGTAATCATGCACATGCCTGATTGGCTGACAAGTGTAGCTGTGGCTGATGGGAAGGCTCGTTCGTGTACAGCTGTTGGAAAGAAGCTGGACTGCAGTCAAAGGAAAGAGGTAATAATCAGAAACTCTCCTCCTCCCACGCACCTCCAAACTTTATCAACGTACTTCGCGGATTTGTAATTTGCATGTTGTGGACACCGTGTGGTCTACTCTCCAACTGCAATTGACGGTGCGACATTAGAATTTACTAATCACTGTTTGCTGTCCTGCACCACTTTCACATACTTTTTGCCACTCCTGACTCCCTCATATATTAACTCCTTGTAATCGCTGTGCCACGATATGGAGAAGATTGGTTTGGGTTGGGCTGTTTCTGCGGAAAAGTAGCTTCATACTGTAAAATATTTTATTTTTAGTGTGTATTTTAGACATTCTCGGAGGTAAATTGCCCCTCAGTGGGTATAAAATCGGACTGATGCTCAGAGTCTGGATTTGATGACTTTTCCCTTACTTTTATATCGTGTAAAGAGGAAGCGAAACTTTGCTCAAGTGACCTTAAAGGACTTCACCAAAATAGTGTGTTTTTGTCATTATCTGGGATCGTTCTGTTTTTTTTTTTTTAACTTTATTACTTTTGTTCAAGAATATAACTTTTTTCCTGGGTTAATGTTTTTTCTGGCCTGAAGGAGCAAACAGCAAAAATACAATGATTATTACAAACGGCTGTAATTGCGTTTGACATCTTAAATGATTTAAATAAATTATTGAACATTTTATGAGTGCAACTGCCAAAAGGAAAGAAAATCTAAAGGAAAAGTGGAGATGTAAAGCCCGGTCACCACACCCTTGGCAGTGGACGATGGAGTGTATGGTCCATCTAAAGGAAGGGTGTGTCTTTCCTACTGCAGCCTATTGATCAGTTGTGTTTTCCCAGACCGTAGAGAAATAGGAAACAGCTGCAGCGTCAGGGACGCCATTAGAGACACCATCAGCTGCCTGCCTTTGAGAGAAAGTGAAGATGAAGAGGATGACATTTTTTTTACTGATATTGACAGGTGTCGATAGGTGAGACTATCAAGATCAGTGAAGTGCATTATGGGTAGGTGATGGGTGCACGGGTCAGTGACCATCAGTGATGAATGTTTTTGTTTGAGCATTAAAACTTTGTTGTGTTTTAACATCACTACTACAGTATTACTACTGGGAGATTTAAAGCTGTTCTGAGTGCGTTAATATTTATTTATTAAAAACTCGACACACACCTCTTTTAACAGTGTTTTCATTCGGACTTACAGGACGGTTTAGTCTGAGTAGGATGAAAAATAAATGACGCGTCTGCTGGAACTGTCGTCCTCATGCGGCGCTCTCGTTTTTTCATTACCATTGGAATGCCCGCACAGAGTACCACTGGCAGGGGTATTACAGGGCAACTTAGCACCTGTTCTAGAGAGTTGTGATTGGCACCCACGCCACAGACGGCTTGGCCCAGGGCCTCAGACAGCCCCGTCCAGAAGGCCGCTGCCATGTTTACTGTACAGCACAGGCCTCAGCACGGCACAACATGGGTGGGCTGCTCGGCGCTCACCTTCATCGCAGTACAGACGTGTGGAGCCTTCAAGCTCAGCTTTTATCCAGCAGCATTTATTGAAACAAACTATATGTATATAGTTAGAGACTTGAACCTGTACAGTACACGACTGTGTTGTTGCCAAACAGTCACAGAGAAGACACAGGGTCTGTGTGAAGGGTACTGAATTCTGCTGAGGCTCAGCTTCATTGGGCATCTGTGAGTTGCCGTATGACAAAACTAGGAGATAGAGGCTTCACTGTAGGTCAGTGGAGCCGTGGGCGGGGTCTTAGAAGCTTGTCTTCTGCATAACGATTGGACGAAGCGTTTGAGACAATGAAGTTTTTATTGACAGCACAATGGCCGTGTCAGCTGTAAATGGAGTTTGTGAGAGAGTCTGGAGACAAACTACCTGTTGTCTGCTGTTAGCTCTTAGCTGTTAGCTTGGTGATAGAGACCAGTTCTACTTGTATATACACTGGAGAGAGCTGTTGTAGAGTTTGTTCCTTTCGCTGATCCTTGTCGTTGTTCTGGTTGTTGTTTTTTATTATTAATCGTTGGTCACTTTTATTCTGGAGGGTAATGTTTAATGTAAAGGTCAGACGGTCCAACAAATGCCTCTGGTGTCCGACAGCCTCTCCGTGGCCTTTGACAGCCTTAAAGCACCGTGACAAACTGGACGCTGACGGTCGCCATGCATTTTGCATGTGTTCTCAGATGAGTGTCTGCATTATACATGTGACACGTTAGCCTGACAGTGACGCACAGCACAGAGTGTCTGAACCTCCTGGACCAGGAGAGCTGATATGTTTATCATGACATACATGTCATGGTGGCTCTGTCGAAGGTTTGTCTCTACTACAGTACTCTCAGGGACACAGAGTTGTTCAAAGTGACCAGTGTCCTTTAAAGACCTAGAGTCACAAAGTGACCAGTGTCCTTTAAAGACCTGCATCACAGGGTCGTTATGTTTTTATGTGAACTGCTGCTGCGCTGCTACTGTACAACAGGGATTGTCAAACTTCTTGAGCCCCCCGCCCCGTCGACAGATTTAAAACACTGTAACAAAGCTGCTGTTTTCATTAAACGACGTTAGAAGATAAGTAAAAACTGTCAGCCTGTCCTGCTGTGGAACACCGCCCTGTCTCCAGACCCCACTTTGAGAACCACTGCATTACATGAGAGCCTCTGTGCGGAGTCTGTAATTCTATGTTATAATTCATATTTATCTCCAAAGACTTTGCTAAAGCTGCTGCTTCAATACCGCAGCATTAAATGAGCAGAATTATTGTTTGTAAATCTGAATGTTCTAATGTTTAATACCAAACTTTTTCAGAAATATATTTCAAATGTAAAATTATAAGAAAGAAAATATTTAGTTGTTCAGGGAAAAATTGAGTATTTCAAAATCTTATATATAAAATCTTATATAATCCTATATTTGGAGTTTGATGTTGTAGATAATCAGCTTCTAAGAGTGTAGGAAAAGCATTGAAGATCTGAGGCTCAAGGGCACAGAGATATTTTTTTACAGTCCAAATTTGATTATAGCATTGTTTTAAAATGGCCATCATTATAAAGAATTGAATGACGTTGACGTTTTCATGTGGTTATGTAAAGACTCCAGGATCTGAGCAGTGAGCATGGAATATTTGGGAAATGGCTGTGCTGACATCAGCAGCACTGGGGAATGTGAACAAGCTACTCCCAGGCACAGTTGGTTTACAAAGACGACACCCAGATCACAGTGTCTTTATCTCATTACATGAAATATGCAGCAGTGGAAAATGTCATGAGTTGCACTCAGTCTGGTGCGTGTGTGTGTATGTGTGGGTGTGTGTGTGTGTGTGTGTGTGTGTAAAGAGCCAAGGTAGCAATACAGTAAAATAGCATAGTGAGTGGTATTCAGCATCAACTATACTCCCATATAGAGTATTGATAATTAGTCTTTAATTATTCACAGTTAAATATACTGGCAGGAATTGAAGAAAGAAACTCGCAAAGATCTTAAACACCTCTGATTATGTTTTTTTAGTTGTCATAACCATCTGCTGCCACCTAACGAATAGTATTTAATTGTTCTGCCTGTCACGATATGTCGAACAAAAAATTTTTTTTCAATAAATACATAACAGTTTTCAGACCAATTAATTGAATTTGGATAATTTTCCAGGGCGCACTAGTGTGTCACCGCCCAGTGGTCGGGAATCATTAAACTAAGACGTCCACGTCCTTGTCCATAGACCCGTCTGTACAAGAACACTTGAAGACTGTCCAAACAGAAAGGTTCTGGACAGAACGTTCTGCACCAGTCCATTCAAAGTACAAGTTCAGTGGCAGGAAAACCAGAGCTGAGCTGAAGTGAACAATACCATTTTTCACTGGCTGGTGGATCTATTGTCAGAGCAGACCACCGCCACGTCCCACAACAGGGACAACAATGGTCGTCACGGAGGCAGACGTCAGATAGAGAGTGACAGACGGAGGAGCTGGACACCAGCGGCCCGTAACGTAGGAAGAGTCGTGGTTTAAGTATAAACAAAGAAAAGACGTATTCTTTGAAGACGACATTAGGAGAACGAGAACTTGACTTGAGGAAAGGTTGTGGAACCGTAGTTGATCTGCTCAGTGTACACCTCAGACATGATGATAGAGGACAGGAGGAAGAACACGTGCTGCTCCAGACAGCAACCAGCGTTCGTCAACATCTGGTTTTATTTAACACACCCTAAAAATAGAACCTGGTCCAAATTGGAACCACCTGGACCAGGTCACAAGTTTATTCAGCGCTCGCTGGAGACTTGACAGTGTGAGATGTAACAATTACCACGTGAAGTGCATGACATGGCCAACACGTGTCCAGCAGAGATGATGGAGTTGAAGACAGGTCCTTTTCAGACAGAGTTAGTTTTAGTTGTTGTCGTGATGGTTTCAGAGCTCAGTCCTTATAAGTAGGGATGTCCGGCGATATCGCCCGTCCAATATTATCAGCCGATATTAGCATAATTATGTCCAATATTATCACCCGATATTAGCATAATTATGATATCGCCTGTCCAATATTGTCACCCGATATTAGCATAATTAGGTAATATCTGTAAGAATCGTTATTGTTTTTTTCCTCCGATAATGAAAACCCAGTAACACAATACCTGGGTTTTGTCAAATGATGTGTGCCCTAAAAAATTGTTTTGGGGAAAAACGGCTGTATATGACAGTGAAAGTCACTAGATGGCAGCCTTGCAGCTTGTTTAATTAATCTCATACTCGTACATTGATTTGTAAAGATAAAGATATATTACCAGGCCTGTACCGGTTGCTATCGGAATCAGAAATTAAGTGTTTGGACAGTATCGGAAGATCAGATATCGGCAAAAAGTTAATATCGGACATTCCTACTTATAAGTGATGAACTTGTGTGTCCTCACTTACGCCTCGTGTTTTCTTTGGACTCCTCGCTTTAGTGTCAGGCAAACGTGTCACAGCCGACCTGGAACAGTTCAGGCTTTAAATAGAAGCAGTTTATTTCCTACTGCAGTTCACT